CCCAGTGACATGATCTTTCCTCTTGGTGGCTAGGCTTGCTATGTGTTTCACTGGGGTTTGTATAGTGTTTTCCATCTTCTCAACATTAAATCTGTTCCCTTGCTATGTGTTTCACTGGGGTTTGTATAGTGTTTTCCATCTTCTCAACATTAAATCTGTTCCCATTCTTAGTCTCTACATTTCTGTTTAGTCCATTCATCTACTTTCCCCTACCCTGTTTCCCCTTTAATTTTCCTGTAGCTTTATCTCCGAAACTTCTGGTATTTGGCCAAATCTAAGAGTCTTCCCAGGCTAGCTCTGTCAGTCTTAGACTTGTGGTCTCTTTCTGAGAGCAAGGGTTTATCATTCATTCAGTTAGCATTTGCTGATTTCTTACTTGGCATGGAGAATGTTAGCAGTGATGACAGACTGGACTCTCGGGAATAACGTGAGTTAAACTTGGTTCTTGCCCTTTTCGGGATGTGGCATGTGAACAACGCAGAACATGAAAATTCATATGCTAGAACTATGTACAAAGTGCTTTGAAGCATGGAATAGTGAGCAGTAAATGACTAACTCTGCCTGGGGGAGAGAAAGAGATTTGGGCATTTGGGAAAGAACTTTGAAAATTTCTCTGCCATAATAATAATAGTAAGAGACTACTTACGTCTTGTAGGAGTCAGTTCTCTCTGTCATGGAGTCCCAGGTATCAAACTGAATTCCTTTCCTGAAGGTAGAGGAGGGAAACTGAAAGTCTTTTAACCTTGCCTTGGCCTTTTTTATGGCTAGCTCCTATCCTAAAGCTGCTTAGAGGTTGCATTAATATATGCTATTGGCATACAAAGGTACCCTTATCATTTGAAGATTATAAGGATTTTAGTAGATGTGTGCCTAAAAATAGCTTCAGAGGAAGGTTGGTGGTTATCTTAGGGAAAAGCACCAGAAAAGGGCATCCAGTCTCCTGGAATAGGAGTTTCAGATGGTTGTTAGCCTCCAGGTGGGTGCTGGGCTTCAAACCCCAGTCCTCTGAAAGAACAAACAGTGCTCTTAACTGCTGAACCTTCGTCTCTCCACCCTTTTAAGACAAGGCCTTATTCCATATTCCAGACTGACCTGAAACCAGAGCTGACCTCCTGCTGGAGTTCTGTGATTATAGTCTTGAGCCATTAGTACCCAACTTGACATTTTCTTGAAAGTGAATGAAATGAATGTTTTGCTTGAAGGAAAACTACTGAAATATTTGCTGGCAATGATAAAATCCCAATGTTTAAGTTTTGGAAAGTTTCTGTTAGTTGCTGTAAGTTTGACAGCTTCTGTGAATTAAAAGCTTTTCTGATGAAGTCAGTGGTGACATTAATGATTATGATTATTTTGATTTTGTCTAAATACAATGTGTCAACATTTGGATATTCTGCATAACTTAGAACCAAGAGTTTCCAAATGAGCTGTGTATCATGCATGAATGAAAGATTCATTCCAAGTACATGATAGACCAAAGAATATGAATGTTACAGAGTACAGTATGTTCATCTATATAGTTTCAGATTTCATGTGCAGCTAGTCTTTAAACTTGACCACATGTCAGGTTTGGGTGTAAAATCAGAGAATAGCCATAGTTTTTATATGGAAAAGCTGTTAAAATACTCCCCCTTCCAGCTACATGTCTGTGTTTTGATCCTCAGTGAAAACTAAATTACAAAAGTGGAAATGTAAAAGTATGTAAAAAACTATAGTTGTGTTCTGTTAAGCTAAATGTTAAAAATTATCAAAAATATGAAATGATTTTCCTGTTATCATGAATTTGTTTTCAGAAAATATTTTTTTAAATAGTCTCATGTATTCAGGCTCACCTCAGGTTCAATATGTAGCTAACGATGACCTTGAACTTCTGATCTTCCTGCTTCTACCTCTCAAGCGCTAAGATTATAGGCTCTACATTCTACCAATTGATCTGCATTCTCCAGCCCAGAAATCATAATTAGTCTTTATAAAGCATGATATTTTCTTTAATTTTTTAGAGATTGATTATTCTTTAATTAATAACTAAATATAAAGATTCGTTTTAATTTTTTTTCTTTTTTCCCCCCATTTACTTGTCTACCTCTTTTGGGTTTGAGAAATATTTTCATATAGACGAACCTGGCTTTGAGTTCACTATATGCCTGAGATTGCTTTTAAACTCTTACTCCTCCTGCCTCCATCTCCCAAATGTTAGAATTGCCACCACACCTGACTTCTTTAAAAAAAAAAAGAAAAGAAAAACATGCATTAGTTATTATTATCATTGTATGTATGATGTGTGTGCATACGTACATGCAAGCATATGTCTAGGCTTGTACACGACATGGCTCATGTAGAGATCGGACAGGTAAAACTTTCAGAAGTTAATTTTCTCTGTCCACTGTGGGATCTGGGAATTGGGCTTCCAACAACAGGTAATTTTACTTGCTGAACTATCATGCTGGCTCTTGCTACAATTTCTAATGTGGCAAATATCAAATAGTTCTTTGGGATTAAAAAGTTTAACTGTATACAGAGATTCTGAGACCAGAAATTCAAGAACTTGGCCTTGTTCTTCTTTTTTGCTTCTAGTTATTTTCTTTTGTCCCCCCTAGAGTTAATGGAAAGGTATTCTTTTAATATTTTTTACTGAGCATCTTAACAAGAATATAGATTTTTGGTTGCTGCTGGGGACATGCTAACTATAATTTGTGGAGGTCAGTGTCCAGTGTCATAACATGTTAAACAGAGACTTGCAGCACAGGTGTGGTAAATGTTACTAATAGATACAAATAATTTGGTAAGAGTTCAGGCCATTGTTAGAGTCGTCTAGTCACTTAGAACAAGGCTTCTTAAATATTTTCCACTTGTGACCTCTTTTTGCTTGACATGTTTTATGTAACCATAGGTACATGTAACATGGGTTCAATTCCCATCACCTACATGGTGACTCATGATCATCTATAACTTCAGTTCCCAGTGAGCCAACACCCTCTTCTGTCCTCTGTGGACATCAAGCACCCACACTGGGCACAGACATTCAGGCAAAACTTGTAAATTAAAATAGCAAGCAAGCAAGAAAGAAAATAAAAGAGATGAGACTGGCCTGGGGCCCCATTGGTGGAGAGCTGGGCTAGTATGCATAAAATCCTGTGTTCTATCCCCAGCACCACAAACTGAGCTTGGTGATGCATGTTGATATACAAAGCCAGACATTCTACTTCACATCTGTGATTGCAGCTTCAGGGAGACCTGACCCGCCCCCCCCTCAGATCCAAGGCTGCAGTAAAGTTGTATAATACAGCATAATACCTCATATTCATTGTACATTTTATTTTTAATTAATTTTTGGTCATTGCTTGTTCCAAAGCCTTTTACTGCTAACACACCCTTTGCTTTGTAACTCCCACATTGAAGTTATGTGACTGACAATTTAAGAAGCTATGACTTATGTGATAGAACTGGTTAGTCACATTCAGATCAAACTGAATCTTTGTTGGAGTCTTCTTATTCTGTCAGGAAAAGTCAATTATGTGAAGATGGAAAGTATTCACTTGCTGATATAGAAGGAGAAAAGAATGCTAGGAATTGAATATCAGGTTTATTACTTATTTTAAAATTAAAAAAATTTAAAGCAAAGTCAGGATCTCATGTCATCCAGTCTGGCTTTGGTTTCCCTATGTAGTTAATTCCCAACCCTCTTGGTTCTATCTCCCAAGTTCTGATATTCTGCCTGGGCACTACTATGCCCAGCCTGAGAGGTGCTTTAATATACACAATTTAATGTAATTCTTACAAAAATCGCATGTGGCAGATTGTTACTTCATTTTGCAGATGAGAAATGGAGGCTTGACAGAGTTTCACCACTTGTCTAATGTCACATAGTTTATAATTGTTTTAAGATAGAATTTTGGTGCATGTGTTTTTGACTCTAGTTCAGGGTGTGGAAGATGTAGAAAAGGTCTCAGGAAGGACAAGGAGACAGCTTAGGAAATGCTTGGATGAAGGAGTTATTTGTAAATTTTGGCTGACATGGTTTTTCTGGGTACAATTCTAACGTCATGTGGGACATCAAACTTTTGTCCTCTCTTAGCCTCATCCCTTTAATCCTCTATGCCAGATGATGCCAGCAGCAAAGGTCACCTGTCTGTTTGATCAGGTTACATATTGGAGCCTGCTGTTAGAAATACAAACTTCATGTATTTGCCATAAGCCTTTGAGAAAGATGCTGGCTGACCTCAAGAAACCAGTAATGTCCAGCCTGGAGACCTTTGGTTGCTAGAGCTTGGTAAACTATTTCCATTATTTTTAAAAAGCCTACTGGAGATGTATAATACTTATGTAAGCACTGTATGTACCTGTGGTGACAAAGTGAGAGGCTGAGTCCCTAAACAATGGAGGAAGACTAGGAGGAGAGGCTCCTGTGGGTAGGCTGCACCAGGACTAAGAGTAAATCTCGAGGCTGAAATGGAAGAAGGACAATAAAGGTCACCTATGTGATATGAGAGGTTTCCCTGGTTAGCCTGTGGCTGGTATTACATGTATTTCTAGTGACAAATAAAAAGAAAAGCTATATCATTTATTCAGATGTTGGAACTATTAGAAAATTATATTAATTTATTTTGTTTGACTGATGAAATTATGTTTAAAATAATGTGATTCCTTGATTATTAATGAGTCCAAGCTTTTTTCTGCATATGTTGTCCCTTTGGTTTTCCCCTCTAATTTGTGAGCTCTTCATGCTCTTGTCTGTGTTCTAGAGTAGGCCTAGCCCTATGCTAGTCTTGTCTGCAGGAGAGCTATGAGAATGGTAAAGCATTGTTTCTGTATGGGCAAGCTCATCCCATTTCCTAAGAGACTTAGGGTAAAGGTTAGATGATTCACTTCCACTGTGTATATGTAGTTGATTAAAATGCTTGTGTGAGGAATCAGGGGCTGGAAGTTAAGATTGCTGACACAAGAGAATGGTGGAGGCTGAGTGACAGCTCTGAGTAATGTTGTCCCTTGCTTTATCCAAACAGAGTTTTGCCGGATTGACAAGCCTCTGTGCCACAGTGAGGATGAGAAGCTCAGCTTTGAGGCTGTCCGCAACATCCATAAACTGATGGATGATGATGCCAATGGCGATGTGGATGTAGAAGAAAGTGATGAGGTAAACTTCCTTACCTTTTATGGCTCTTCTCTGTGTGTGAAATGATGCCTGAAAGCTGCCTAGACTAATACATGTGGAGAGATGGTTTCTCCTTATTTCCTCCTAGAAACTTATTCCCATCAGGCTAGATGATAGCCAGCAGAGCAGGTCTCTCTGTTTGCTTATTGGTGAATAGCTTAACTTAATTATTTGGAGGGGGGAATTCCTCAGATGGTCTTATAGTTTTCCTGGATCTTTAAGTGCTATCTTGCTGTGGAAAAAGAATATTAATCTATATTCTGCCTTCTTTGGTGTGTAAAGAAAGAAAGCAAAAAATAGTCTGGGGTTTTATACTCTTATATGAGAGGAAGAAGCAAATCTAACTTTAAGGAGAAAAGAGCTGTCTTACTGTTGTACCTTTTGGCATTATTATAGCTCCAGATCAACAGAGCCCAGAGTACAAGGTCAACACGTGGGAAAGATTTAAACATTTCTTAATTTCAAGCTCAATATAAACCAACCATTTGTTGAAGCTACCTGGCCATGCTAAATATTCAGTAGGACATAGTGTACATTATGAAAGAGAAGCCTAGTCTCTTCTTGTCAATAGTCCACCTTTGAGTTTGTGTTCAATTTTGGATGTTACATCATCAGGAGACTTTAGTGCAGCAAAACACTGTCAGAGAGGAGTGATATGAATGATGAAAACAGTAAACTCCATCCAAGAGCATCAACACAGTTCATTGATATTAAATCTATTATGTTTGTGCCCTTCACTGTGCTAGGCATGGGGACAGGGCAGTAAACAGACAGATTAAGAGATACTTTCTTTTCTCACATAATTTACAGGCTAGTGAAGAAACTGGAGTCTTACGAAGAAAAGACTTTAGTTTCTAGTTATTGTGACAAAAATCTGAGAAAAGCTTATTGTAGCTCAGTGTTTCAGAACTTTTAGTGCATGGCCAGTTCCATTGTTTCTGAGATCGTAGTTAAGCAGACTAATCATTTCAAGGAGCATGTGGTAGAGCAGAGTTCCTTACATCATGGCAACTAGAAAGCAGAAAGAACAGAAGGGTCTTACAACAAGATATGTTTACTGCAACTAGGCTCCACCTCTTTTCTTTTTTCTTTTTTCTTTTTTTATTTATTTTATATAACCAAGTCCATTTAAATGAAAACAAACATTTATAGACAATATTTGGGAATTTGGGCGTCGTTCTTTCCAAACTACTTCCTGCTGGTAAGGGGCGCTGTCACAGGGGATTTGAAGAAGATTCAGAAATCCTGGCTGTAGTTTGTAGGACTGCTTTGTCCAGCTGTTTTGAATGTAGGATCACCTGGTACTCTGTTTCAGGTGGTCTGGCTTGATCAAACCACATTAGTCTGGAAGGAATCCACATCTTTTCATTTTCTGTGGAAACAAAAATAGAAATCCTTTTCCCCAGTAACTTGTCCTTGAACTTAAATTTTGGAGTCAAAGCATTTTCTTTTATTTAATTTATTATTTTACATGTCGATCCCAGTTCCCTCTCCCTTCCTCCCTTCCTCCCTCCCTTCCTCCCTGTCTCCTTCCCTTCCTTTTACCATCTCTGCCCTCTCACATGCACTCTAACCACCCTCCCCTCCCATCCCCCCACCCCAATTCCATATGTAGGGGAATGCCATCCATTTGGGGTCATGTAGATCTGACAGGTCATGTGAAGTAGGGACTAGGGCTTCTCTCCTGTCTCTAGATTAAGGCAGTTATCCCTCCATGGGGGATGTGTTCGCAAAGTCCTTTTGTGCACCAAGGATACATCCTGGCTCCACTGTCTGAGGTCCCTTAGACTGCTCAGTCCTTCTGGCTGAGACCCATATTCAGGTAGGCCCCACCTCTTAATAATACCATCATATTACTAATCCATCAGAGGATTAATCCATTGATAGGTCAGAGCCTTTGTGATCTAATCATTTCTCAGTGATGAGACTAACTAGCTTATATTATATTAAGCCTTCTCTAAAGCAAATGATAATAGAAACTATGGCACTAGCTGTCATCAATTGAGCTCTTTCTCCATGTCAGATGGCAGTCATGCTCTTTGCATAGCTATTCATTTACTTTTCTTAATATCCCCAGGGAAGTTGGCTTTATTATTAGGGACTGTGGTGATACTAGAAAATTTAAACATTTTGCTTAAGACACATGCTAGATTTGAGCTTGTATCTTATTTCAAAGCTCCTGTTCTTTCATAATGTATTGTTTTCTTTATCCTAAGGTAGTGCAAGACCAATGTAGGGAAAATAAAAGCAAGTATATTCTCCTGAAATAAAGAGATTTGTTATAGAAGAGACTGTGTTGATTTGTTTTATTTATTTATTTATTTATTTATTTATTTTTGAGACAGGGTTTCTCTGTGTAACAGCCCTGGCTGTCCTAGAACTCGATTTTAGACCAGGCTGGTCTTGAATTCCCCGAGATCCATCTGCCTTTGCCTCCTAGATGCTGGGATTAAAGGTGTGTGTTACTACCACCTGGCTGATACTGTCTTGTTAACTATTGAATCTCCTGTCAGTAAAGACAGGGCAAGTGGGTAGGACCATCTGTGAATTGGTTGGTTGAGGGATTGGTTCTTCTGTACAGCTCAACAATGTCTAAGTAATTCAAGAAGGGTGGAATTTGACAAAATGGAAGTGGTAGGGTTCCTTGAGTGTGGAGAATGAGGGTGAGAAAGATAAAGATGTAGTCAGAAGCACAGTGGATTGGTTTGGTTAGACAAAGGAACTATGGTAGAAAACCACTGAACTAAAATTTAGTAAGGAAAATGGGGCCCAGGTAACGGAACTGAAATACTGTGTTACTTTATAATTATAAGCTAAATGCGGATAATAACTATGGTCAAGCTATCTAAATTTTTAGTCTTATCTAGAACTATTACTGGCCTTCAGAGACAAAAACAAAACCAACAATAAAAACCAGCCATGTTCCTGGTAGAAATGAGGCCTCTCTGGGCCTCATGTCCCTATCATTTCCCTAGCATTACCTGAATACTGGAAAATGGGCAGCTCAGCAACTGCAGTAGGGGCTGGAGAGATGGCCCAGAGGTTAAGGGTACTTGTTGCTCTTATTGAAGACCAGAATTTGGTTCCAAGTACCTATGTGGGAGATTACAACTATCTGTAACTCCAGTTTTAGGGGATCCAACACCCTTCTGACTGCCACAGGTAGATGCAGAGAAAATATTTATACACATAAAATAAATAAACCTTTTTTTTTTTTTTTTTTTTTTTTTTTAATGATATGCCGCCATTTGGGAGGCAGGAGCAGGAGTCCAACCTGGTCTAAAGAGTGAAACCAAATAAGGGGGGGAAAAAAGGGTGATAGAATCTATTTGCAGATATAAAACCTGCAAATTTCTGGATATCTTTGTCAACGCTCCTCCTTTTTTTTTTTTTTTTTTTTTTTTTTTTGTGTTCTGTTGATTGCTTTGTCAAAGAGGGAAGGAAGAAAATGTTCTCTTTAGAGGAATGTTACCACAACAAAAATCTCATCAGCACAAACTGTTCTAAAATAACACAAAAGCTGTCATCCGCTTTCTGTGCACCCTTGGTGTGAGGTGTTCATTTTCAGCTTGCCTTCGACTACCCCTGTCCTCACTGTAATCTCAGGCCTCTGTGGTCACTTACCACCCAAGTCCCAGAGCAAAAAAGTAGTAAAATGTGTGCACTTCACTTGCTTTAAACGTGTATGAGACAGAGTTGGAGTTTAGGTAGAAATAGCAGGGCTGAGGTAACGGATAGCATAGTGCTGTGGAAAAGTTCTGGTTGCACTGGCTGTCAAAGACCTAAGAGTTTTGAGATCCAAAAGGTATTGTTAATTACCCAAGAACCTCAGTAGAAGTCTGAAGGAAAGTTAAATCCCCATGGAAGCAGGAAGATTGCAAGTTCAAGGCCTTCCTGGGCTTACAGAGTTTAAGTCTAGTCTAGGTAGGTAGTCTAGTGAATGAAAAGTAATAAAGGAGCTTGGGATATATATTTCGGTGGTAGTTTGCTTAGCATGTGTGAAGCCCTAGGTTCCTGTAATCCCAGCACGTGGGAGATGGAGGCAGGAGGATCAAGGTCAAGGTCATCCTTTGCTACATTGGAACTTGGAGGCCAGAGACCAACCTAGGTGATTATGTAAAACTCTGTCCAAAAAAAAAAAAATAATTAAAACATTATAAACACAGGGTCGGTGAGATGCCCAGAAGGTAAAAGTTTATAAAAGTGCTTGACATACAAGTCTGATGACCCAGAAACCCACAGTGGAAGGAGAGAATTGATGCCTGGAAGTTATTCATTGACACACATGCTGTCAATTACCCTTCCAATAATGATGATGATGGTAAATAGAATAAATAAAACCCTTACATTCTAGTTGGATATCTGTTCTGTGCCAGCCACTGATTGAGGGTTTAAGATTCTATTGTGAACAAAACAGATTCCTATTTTCTGGAGCTTGTACTCTAGTGATTTATATATTGAAGGTGATTAAGTGACATTAAAACAATGATTAAATTTAGTAATTTAATAATTCTCCCATTTGTTTTATCAGGATAAAATAATGATTACTGATACTTATCCCAGCATAGTTGTCAGGATTAAATTTAAAAAAAAAAAATACTGACTGTTAAGACTTCTTAGGCTAGTTGGATATGGTATGGTATATCTGTTATTCCAACACTCATGAGACAGAGGCAAGGAAGTCACTGTGCCTTCTAAGTTTGAGGCCAACCTGTCATATACAATGAATTCCAGGCTAAAAAAGAAAAAAAGTTCATATAAAGGCTAGGTGTAGTAATTCATAATTATAATTCCAGCTCTTGGGAGACAGAGACATAAGCATCAGGAGTTCAAGGTCATTCTCAGCTACATAGAAAGTTTGAGGCCAGCTTGGGCTACATGACATCCTGCTTAATATTTATATGTATATATGCATATATATGTATATACACACTCAAACATATATACATATTACATTACTAGTTATTAGGCAAAATGAACAT